CTCATCTCTTTCCTCTCTCTCTCTCTCTCTCTCTCTCTTATCTTCTCCTCGCTCTCTCTCTCTCTCTCCTTCTCTCTCTTCTCTCTCTTCTCTCTCTCTCTCTCTCTCTTTTCTCTGCTTTCTCTCTCTCTCTCTTCTCTTCTCTCTCTCTCTCCTCCTCCTCTCTCTCTCCTCTCTCTCTTCTCTCTTCTCTTCTCTCTCTCTGCTCTTCTCTCTCTCTCTCCTCTCTCTTCTCTCTCCCTTCCCTACGTCCTCTCCCTTCCATTAACCCTTTTTACCAGTATTCTGTCCTCTCCCCTCCTTCCTCCTCCGTTTTTATTTATCTCCCTCTCCTTCCCCCTCCACCACTCCCTTCCTCTTTCTCCCTCCTTTATCCTCTCCTCCTCTTTTTCTCCCTCCCTTTATCCATCTCCCTCTCCGTCCCCCTCCTATTACCCATCTCCGCTCTCTTTCTCCCCCTCCTCTTATCCATCTCCCTCTCCTTCCCCTCCTTTAATCCATCATCCTCTCTTTTCTCCTACCTTTAATCCATCTCCCTCTCTTTATAATCCCTCCGTTTATCCATTCCCCTTCTCCTTTCCCCTCCTTTCATCCATCTCCCTTCTTCTTTTCTCCCTCTTTATCCATCTACCCTTCCCCCCCTCTAACCCCAATCTCCCTCTCTTTCTCCCTCCTTTATCCATCTCCCTCTCCTTCTCCCTCCTTTACCCATCTCCCTCTCTTTCTCCCTCCTTTATCCATCTCCCTCTCTTTCTCCCTCCTTTATCCATCTCCCTCTTCCTTCCTCCCTCCCATTACTCACCACGCTCACAAAGACAGCGAGAGCGCGAGGAGACTGCCAAACACTATGACACCTAAACCCATTAATGTAATTAGGGATAGAACACGATCATTACTAATTAGTCAGCGCTCTCGGTCGAAAGCCTTGCTGTCTGTCTGTCTCCTCTGTCTGGCGGGCTCTCTGTCTGGGTCGTCTGTCTGGGGGCTCTCTCTGTCTGGGTCGTTTCTGTCTGGCGGGCGGGCTCTGTCTGTCTTTTTCGTCTGTCTGTCTCTCGCCTGTTCTGATCTGGCGGGGTGACTGTCTGTCTGGCGGGCTATCTGTCTTCTGTCTGTCTCGCCTGCCTGTCTGGCTGACTGGCTGTCTGTCTGTCTCGTCTGTCTGGCTGTCTGTCTGTATGGTCTCGCCTTGTCTGTCTAGCGGGTGTCTGTCTGCTCTTGGTCTGGCTCGTCTGTCTGGCGGGCTCTGTCTCATCTGTCTGGCGGGTATCAGGTGACTGTCTGTTCTGGCGGGCTGTGTGTCTGTCCTCATTCTCATCGGCTATCTGGCTGCTCTGTCTCCGGCTGTCTGTCTGTGCTCTGTCTCATCTGGGTCTGTTTTTGTCTGTCTGTTCATCTGATCTTGTCTGTCTGCCGGACTATGTCTTGTACTCGTTCTGCTGTCTGTCCGTATGTCTCCGTCTGTCTGTGGGGCTGCTCCTCTGGTCTGTCTGTCTTCATTCCTGACTGTCTGTCTATCTGTCTGTCTCTTGTTCTGTTTGGATCTGTTCTGTGTCTGTCGGTCTGTCTGTCTCGTCTGTTTGTTCATTTGTTCGTTTTCTTTCTTCTGAAATCTGTTAAAGATCTCCTTGGTATCTGTCTTTTTGGTCTCCGTGCTCCTGTATCTGTCTTTGATATCCTTGTCTGCCTGTTTTTCTAACTGTCTCTATCTGTCTATCCATCTATCTATCTAAATCTCAATATATATCTATCATCAGTCCTCTCTCCTCTATCTTTATCTGTCTCTACTCTCTTCTTCTTCATTTATCTCTCTCTTTTCATCTCTCCTCTCCTCTCTCTCTCTCTCTCTCTCTCTCTCTCTCTCTCTCTCTCCTCTCTCTCTCTCTCTCTCTCTCTCTCTCTCTCCTCTCTCTCCTCTCTCCCCCGCTCCCCCCCTCTCCTTCCTTTCTTTCTCTCTCTCCTCTCTCTCTCTCTCTCTCTCTCTCTCTCTCTCCTCTCTCTCTCTCTCTCTCTCTCTCTCTCTCTCTCTCTCTCTCTCTCTCTCTCTTCTCTTCTCTCTCTCTCTCTCTTTCTCTCTCTCTCTCTCTCTCTCTCTCTCTCTCTCTCTCTCTCTCTCTCTCTTCTCTCTCTCTCTCTCTCTCTCTCTCTCTCTCTCTCTCTCTCTCTCTCTCTCTCTCTCTCTCTCTCTCCTCTCTCTCAAAAGCTTCAATATAATGAAAAATAAAATCGCCGCCCCCCCCTTTCCTCCCCTTTTTAAAACATCATTCATGTGAGTTTTCAAGGCAATAAGGTCGAAAGTTCACTGTCATCTAATGCGAATTAGGTATTTATGTACGGCTAAGCTCCATTAATCCCTATAATGGATAAGTGTGTTAATACCGCCCGGGATCAGGTGACATTTTCACTTTTTTGTACCTAAGGGACCCTCCCCTCCCTCCTCCCTCCCTCCCTCCCCTCCCCTCCCTCCCTACTCCCTTTCCCCTCCTCTTCTCCCTCTTTTTCATTCCTCTTTCTCCGTTACTCTTTCTCCCATTTACTCTATATCTTCCTATTCTTGTCCCTTCTCCTCTTCCTCCTTTTCCATCTCAACCTCTTCTTCT